TTTTTTTTCTTTATCTATTGAGATGATCGTATGATTTTTGTACTTTAAAACAAAAAGGGTGAAATCACAACAATATTTACTTCAAAAAACTTTTTCTAATTATATGGAAAACATAAATTAAATGGACATATTCCTAGATATACACGAACTACCAAAGCTGAATCAAGAAGGCATAAATATTCTAAATAACCCAGTCAATCAGTGAAATTGAAACTATAATTAAAAATCTATTACCACTAATAATAAAGTTGATCAGGAAGCACTCTCTCATCTCTTCCTCTCCCAACATGTTCTAGACAGCAGCCAGACTAAACTAGTCATTGCTTTTCTCATCTATCCCCCTCTCCCACAGCTGTGCTTTTGGCATGACAGGGACCATCTGCCTCTGACCTATCAGTAATTTGCCAAAACTTTGTCCATCTATCTAATTATCCTTGATGTCAGTCCTCACAATCCCAACTGAAGTCTTCTATCACATATATAAATTATTGTTCTTCCCAGGATCCCTGAGCAAGTATGGAATTATCACGCTGATGTTATCACTATCAACCAACACCATCAAAATCAACTTGGTATTGATGGAAACTTTCTTATGCACTGCTGTTTTAATGTATCTAAGTACAACTTTTTGTCCTGATTACCAAGCTCAAACCTCATTAGTTAGTTAAAAATACCTGGCTGTTGTTTCCATCATCTATCTATTCACTGTGATTCAGAGTACTTGAGATCAGATGCTGAATCCACCAAACTATGCAATCCAGCTCCTTGCTCCAGCTATCCTCTAAGTTAATGTTAATTATAAGAAATGTTAGAGGCTAAGTGATCATTTGGTCCATTATTCCCACAACCTCTTTACTAATAAATATACTTCTGGCAGTATTCCCTGTCAACCCAATAGAAGGCTGCCTCTGCCTCAATTCATTGTCATTTTCTCAGAAAGACCATCCTTGACCACTAAATCAAGACAGTTCAAGTCTATTTAATTCCTCATGTGCATTTTTATAGCTCTGTGATTTAATATATAGACATTTGGGCGAAATGCTTTGATGACATCTACTTCTTCTCCAGCCTCCTCTTTTGTTTTATCTGTATTTTACTGAAGGTAGGGGTGGCTTAACATTTAGGCATCTGCGTTTTTCTGTCTTGCTGATTAGTTCCTTTTTCGATTTCTTGGTGCAAGTCTCAAGGTTATTTGTCTTTTTTAAAACCTTTTTTAAAAAATTTAAGTCTTATTTTTTAGGGTAATCTGTCTAGTAAAGTTTGTTTTGAACTTTTTTCACTGTGCATATTTTAGCCTTATGTCAAATCTGTTAATTTTGCTTTCATGAATTTAGAGATCCTGTTATGTGTATCTTTGTTTCCTTGGAATATATTCTTAAAGGCAGATAAATTTAATAAGCTTCTCTTTAAGTGTTCTGATACATTTTTTTTTTCAAATTGGCCACCCCCTGAACGCCAGAAATAGAGTGGTTACATTCTCAAAAGTTGACCAGTAGTTTTATATTACTAAATATTGCCAGGCAAGGCAAATAGAGTTGTTTAATACAAGGTAACAGTGCAAGTAAAAATTTCAAGAATTAGGGATATCAATCAGGGATTATGTCTTCAGCACTGTCTGCAAAGGAGAATTTTTGATTATCATCCCTCAGCATTAAATCACGTAGAGGTGTTTTCCATGGTTTTGTAGGAACAAGGATCTATGGACAAAAATACAAAATAAAATAGGAGCCTCCCTAAATCTTCTGGTTAATCTTGACTAAAAAGAGTCAAAAACAAACTTAACTAGATCAATTCCTCAAAAAAATAAGGCAAGGCTTTTTATAAAATGATTTTTTAAAAGACAAATAACCTTGAGACTTGCACTAAGGACCAAAAAAAGAGCTAACAGGCAAGACGGAAAAACCCAGGTGCACAAATGCTGTGCTGCCCCTCCCTCCAGTAAACTATAGGTAAAACAAAGGTGGGGAGGCTGACTAATTTTAAGTCAATATGTACTCACACATGTACACTAACATAGACACTTACATACATGGGTATTCATGCTGATGTACAATAGATAGACACACACCTCCTTACTGATTCAAGGCATGCTCTTGTCAGCTAGCCTCCTACCCCAGAGATATCAAGAATATGTCTATCAAGAATATGTAAACAGACAAAAAGAAGCCAAACATAAACCACACACACAGAAAAATGACATTAGGCAGAGGTCCCCAAAAGCCAATCCAGTTATAACAAACAGAGGGAACCCCCCCCAATAAAACCAGCTAAAAACAAAGGGCTTATAGGTCCTCCATCTTTTCAGAGCCCCTGATTCTTTCTTATCAGGGTAGCTATCCATCTTCTCTTTTCTCTCTCCTTTTTCCTCTTTACAAATAAAATGCTTTTTTTTGTTCAACCTTGTCCCTCAAATTTATTATTGGGGCTGAGTTATGACTCCAGCGAGCTGCTCAGACAGCAGAGCAGTGGTGTTTGTTTTCCAGAGCAGTTGGTTTTACTTAAGTAAACACATGGATTGTTTTCATACCCGTTATCCCCAAATAATCTTTTAGCTTCACCTTTGCTCCAACTGAATCACTTCCAAGATCTGCAGTCTGCTTGAGAATAGAAATTCCACTCCTTTCCCAGGCTATTCGCTAGTCATGGTCATGCATGATTATCTTAGCCAACTAGGTAATGATAGTGGCCATTCCAGACCAGCCACCTTCAGTGTTGCCAATTATACGAGTTCCCATCATACCAAGATGACATAGAGAAATCCAATGCATTATGAAAAGTAATCTGGTAAATATTATTGGATAGGTTACCATGGAGATAAAATTTTGGTGACCTCAGTTCACTTTTGCCCTTAAGTCATCTCTGAAACTGAGATGACTCCACCTGATCTTTCATTACCTCATAACTGAGTGTAAGTGAGATTAAGCACTCAAGGGACTTATGGAAATGGAACTTTCCTAAATTAGCCCTACATGTACTGATGCACAACTGAATTACTTTCCCTCAGAAGATTAATGTATGACTCCTTGTAATACATATTTTATCAACTCCTGATCCCACAAATGCTAAGAAAAACAAATGTGTACTTCTTTTCTGTTCTTTAGCTGTAAGGAAGAAAGATTTTTAACCTTAAGTTTATTTACATCATCAAAGACAATCTATTTAGTCTTTTGGCTTTTTGAAAATATGTCCTTGCTTCATGTAAACATTAAGTAGTTAATTCTAAAAACAAAATATAAATTACAGTAGTACTAAACCTTTGTACAACTGAAGATTCAATTTGGAATTTTCTCATGTTCCCACAATTGATTCAGTTTGAATGGTTGTATTTTAAGTTGCTTTGTATTTATCTATTTAGCTCTTCTGTTTCTCCCACATACAGTAGATTTCAATTAATCCCCAGATTACCAGTCAACATCCTTAAGGATCCAATCTCACCCTCAGCAGAAAATTATGAAGGTTGAACTGCTCACAGAGCAGTTTCTTATAGTTTCAAGCAAAATATCTGAGCAAAAAGTAAAGTCACAAATCCTCGATAATCTATGGGTATAAGAGGAAATAGTAGGCAAGCTCTAATAGGTTACACCATACAGGTCACACAAAAGATAGTGCTGACTTAAATCGTCAGTAACAGAGATGAATTTGAGACAAGTAAAATAAATGTTGATTAACATTCGAACGGTAAAGTCAAATAGGAAGCTAAGTACGGGAGTCTGGCTCTAAAGTGTGCTCTTGAAACAGAACCTAAAGCTCAGTCTGGTTACTCAGTGAGATCTCTAGAGAAAGGCAACAGTAGAGCCATGATCACCCATGACTTTCAGGTTTCCCCACTGTTGAAAGCAGGGACAGGATGCAAAGGGTGTGTTTCTTTCTGTTTTGATAACAAGCCACCGTCTCAGAATCCCCTCAGTTCCCATTCATTAAACCTGAAACCAACTGCCAGCTACCCTAAGCACTATGGCTTCCTTCTGCATTCCCTTTAAGAGAGGAGAGACAGAGAGGAGAGGAGAGAAGGCAGAATCAGTTTTCTGACAGGGTAATGTGTTTCAGACACTACACTAAGGTAACAAACATTGAGTAGTGACAACATCGGGAGGGATCACAAAGGTGCATCAGACACCATCCCTACTCTGTTCTTTTGGGGGAGGGGTATCAGAGAGGGACAATAAGAGCCTACAGAATTATAATGTATTGTAACTCGGTAAGTGACAAAGACTTGGATGAAGAGGGGACGGCAGCGTTCAGGGAAAACCTCTTGGAGCAGTTAGACTGTGCAGACAGCGTCGCATGGCTTCCAGCAAAGATTTGAAGGAAGAGGCACTTGGACTGTGGAAGAGAGGGAACAAATTCCCTATAGGAGAAAAAAGGAGTCAAACGTATAGGTTTGCTTTTGTGTTGTTTTTAATTAACAGAGTTAGTGTTCTGGAGGCGAACTGATGGTCTATTTTAGCACAGGATAAAACTATGTGTGGTCAGTTCCTAAAGTTAAGCAAAAAGAACGCCCTGTTCCGCTGTGGCCTGCCCGCCGCAAGTGATCACGCAGAAAACTAAGGCTCTGTCTTTTCGCCGTCCAATGGCAAAGGAACCCATACTTTTGTTCGCAGGTGATTGGCTAGTGTAAAAGTCCCGCTTTGAGTATCGACCAATGAGCACTCGGGAGCTCCGAATCTTGGAACCTGTTTCTGGTCAAGAATGCGTGACATTGAGGCAGCTTCGGAGTTGTAAACAAGGACGAGTCTGGGAGGGTCCCGCGCCCACACGACCCGGGGCCAGCTCTCGGAGACCGATTCAGAACCCACGTTGTCTGCTCCAGCTAAATGCTCTGGGCCTCCTTCCCATCCTTTACCCTCACCTCCCCTGGAGCCCGTGCCAGGCCAGCGGCGGTCACTGTGCCAGGCCATTCTGCTGGAACAGCGTCGGGGGGCGGGGCCTAAAGTTCTTTCTCCGAAGGCACTGGCGCGGCCCCAAGTACTGGACGTGTTTGCAAGTCCGGGTGACGCCTCCGGGCTGGAGCTGGGGAGAAAGGACAGGGGAGCACATAAAAGGCTGCGCCCTGCGGGTGCTGAGACACACAAATCTCAGTCCCTGGCCCTGCGACCCACCAAAGGCACCTCCGCAACAGCACCTGAACCCCGCGCTGCTGTGCACCTGTCGCGCACCGTCTCGACTCGATTCTGCTCCTGGTCTGTTCCAAGGGCGTCAGAATGAAGGCGGCCCGCTTCATGATGCGTAGCGCTGGCTCGCTGGGCAGCGCCAGCCTGGTACCCCGAGAGGTCGAGCTCTTCTCGCGCTACAGCCCCTCCCCGCTGTCCATGAAGCAGCTGCTGGACTTCGGTGAGCGGGGAAGCAGAGCCGGCGGGTGGCGCTGGGGCTGGGGTTCTGCCCTGATTTTGGGACCCCAAGTTAGAAGGTCTGGGTTCCAAGCTAAAACAAGCCCGGCGCTTCAGGGGCGGCTTTCTGACAAGTTGGGCGTTCAGGCCAAGGCCGCCTGCAGCCCTGCTGCTACTGGGTGGCTTCAGTTCACTCTTTCTGTTCTGTTTGCCTGGATTTTGGAGTCATAAAAATTTCACTTTCACTCACTCTTTAACAGTAGACTAGAAACCTTCTCTCTTCCTTCACGATGTGGAATTTCTTAGAGAAGATTCCTGATATTACAAAGTAGCTTCAAATCAATAGATTTTTATCTCTTAACCACCATGTACCTCTCCATAGAGGAAATCGCCTCAAATTCTCAGCAGTATTCATTGTCTTTTTACTGATATAATTTTCCACATATTTGCATTACTGTTGAAAATATTTGTACACTTGCTGGAGGGATCTTATTTTTAAAATTTAAAAAAAAAAAGCATCAAATGTTTAAAAGTGATAGTGTTTACCGCTACTGTGGAACCCACATGACCTCCACTTCTTCTCTTCCCATTCCCCTTGCACTTCAAAATGCATCAGAGGACTTCATGTTGGTGCTTTTGTGGTGGTCACTGACTTCTGCATTTTTTTAATAAATACTAAGAACTATGGGATAGCTGCCTTTGGGGGAGTGAATCTTTCTCAAAAACAGGAAACAAAAATTGTCATGTATTTATCACTTTTAAAATAAAAAAAGAAGAAAGAAAAAGCCTATAAAGATACCTGCTCCTAGCCCAGGGGTATACTCAGCAGCACAGTGCCTGCATGGCTTGAATTATTTATAAACAGTAACCCAGCCAAAGGTGGCATATAACTGTCTATATGTATATGTTCAATATTTGATAGTTAATGAATTCTGCATGTTTCATTTAGATACATTGCTTTCTGAAAACTAAATAAACCTCATTTATTTGTAGGTTCACACAATGCATGTGAAAGGACTTCTTTTGCATTTTTGAGACAAGAATTGCCTGTGAGGCTAGCCAATATCTTGAAGGAAATTGATATCCTCCCTGATCGATTAGTGAATACCTCTTCAGTACAGTTGGTTAAAAGCTGGTAAGTGGTGAATCATTTTTGAAGTTTCTAGTTGTAAAACAGTTACTTGAGTGTGGTTTCTTGTGTTAATTCCATAATCAGAAAACAAATGGTCTACACAGTAAATACTTTCAGAAGATTTAAAAAATATTTACTCAGTGTAAGTTATTAATAGGGGAGTTGTAAAGCTAGAAATAGATTATTTTACCCTGTAAAAATTGATTCCTTTACAATATAATTTTATCTTTGGAAGTGATTTGGAAAATAATGAACATGTGCAGTTTTAATTTTGTATTTTACATAATAAGAGTTTGACATTGCAAAAGATATCCAATGCCTAGAAAAGATTCAGACAAGTCCTAGTCAGGAAGTAGTCAAAGTGCCTCTGCCACCCACTAGTTGCGGACTCTTTGACAAGTGCTGGAAACTCTCTCTGCCTCAGTTCTCTCAATGAGGAGAATAAATTATAAGTCTCAAATGAATGTTTGAGTATAACTGAGGTGATCCATAAAAAACCAATTTAAAATAGTACCTAGTACACAGCTAGCACTCAATGACAGTTATCATAACCTCGTTTTACAAAGAAGGATAGTGATGCTTAGAGAAAGTAGATAACCCACAAGAACAGGTTTTCAGAGAACGGAATTGGGATGTTCAACTGAAGCAGACTTGTACAAGAACCTCACCCTAATCCACTGGCTGCACAACTATTTGTTCACTGAGTCAAGAAATATATGCACTCCACACCCGTTTAAAAAAAAAATCAGAGGTAGAAACATACACGCAAACTGTAGAACCTTTTTGGTTTCAGCCATTTGGATCTATTGATGTTATAACAAAGTACACTTACTGCTTTGCAGGTATATCCAGAGCCTAATGGACTTGGTGGAATTCCATGAGAAAAATCCAGATGACCAAAAAGCCTTATCAGAGTAAGTGCTAGCATTAGAATGAATATGTAAAACCTTGACTATTTGCTGACATACTCCTAAGGGTATGCCCAAAAGTTTTAGCCCTAAATTAAAGGGGCTGTAGCTCTGAGTAATAAATTACCATTCCCTTACAGATGACAAATTTTGGCTTATTGTGTTTTTGGTCTTGAAAACTGATGCTGAATATAAAAAATGTAGATAACTTAATATCCTCCACATCCTGCAAGGAATTCCACTTTTACTATAAGTTTAGGACTAATGAAATTTTTAGGAAAATTTATATTTCAAAATTTTAAGTGTTTTAGTGTCAGTGTAGATTGTACATCTTCTTTCAGAGTAACTGGAAGTTTCTAACTATCCCCAAAAAGATTTTTTTCTAAAACTAACAAGAATTTTCAAGGCTTTTTCACAGTGGTATTCAGGAGTCATTTTTAACTTTTTTTTTTTAAGAGAACGCTGAATGAACAGCTATAATAAATGCACTAGCCATAGATCTGAAAGTTTTCATGTAAGCTAGACACAAAATATATCTATTTATGAAATTACCTCCTCTAGTGTAGGAGGGGAATTCTTGGTTAGAACCCCAATAAAGCTCACTGAACCATTTATAATTTCCTTTGTTTAGAAGAATCCTTATTGAAAACAATCTAAAGACAAAAAGTAAATGAAACTTACCTAACTTTCACTAATTGCAAATCTAATGGCTTAGCTTTGTAGATACACTCATCGAAGTTCGAAATCGACACCATAATGTAGTCCCTACAATGGCACAAGGAATTATAGAATATAAAGATGCCTGTACAGTTGACCCAGTCACCAATCAAAATCTTCAGTACTTTTTGGATCGATTTTACATGAACCGTATTTCTACTCGGATGCTCATGAATCAGCACAGTAAGTGATCTCATTGGGATCCTGATTACATAGACACAAGTGTAGATTAGGATCCACACTACAGCTACATGTCCAGCTTACCAGGGGTCACATTTCTGTCTCAGTGGTACTTCCAGTCATTTTCCTGATTTTTAGTAACGTCATGTTTTGTTTTTATTTTTCAACAGTTCTTATATTTAGTGATGAGAAGACAGGAAACCCAACCCATATTGGAAGCATTGATCCAAACTGTGATGTGGCAGCAGTGGTCCAAGGTAATTTCTAGATTTCTGTTGATCCTTTTAAATCCAGTATAATGCAATATATATATATATATATATATATATACATACATATACATATATATGTATGTATATATGTATATGAAGGCGATTTTGAATGAACTTATGTTCACAGGGCTCCATTTATATTTTTATAAATATGCCATCAGTGTCTTTTGCTTTTGAGAGTTAGAAATAAAAACACTAATTTATAATATTATAAAACTTAAATGGCTAAGATATCATATCTTTATATATTATATTTGATCTGTGAAGTGAACATACTGCTTTTACTAGAGCTACAATCAACAAAATATGGTTTTTCAATAAAGCATTAAAAAGACATTTTCCGTATACATAAACCTATCTTCTAGCAAATAGTTTAGATTAAGGTTAGTGTACACATGGATGATAATTTGAAAACCGTAATTGTCATGAAGTCATTTATTATTGCCAAATATTTTGTTTTCCAGATGCCTTTGACTGCTCGAAGATGCTCTGTGAACAGTACTATTTAACATCTCCAGAAATGAAGCTCACACAAGTGAATGGTAAGCTACGAGTAAAATGTACTTTAATCTATAAGAAACTTGTTATTTCTCCAGTGTAGTCATTTTTTTATAAATAATACTTTTGTAAATACTTTCTTCTCTGAACTTGCCTAAAATTTATTCACTGTACAGTTGACCCAGTCACTAATCAAAATCTTTAGTACTTTTTTGAAGTACTATTTGAAGCCACATTTCTCTATAATTTTTATAATTGGAAAGCTCCAGTAGTGTATATTCAGTTACCAATGATGATCATTAAAAGTAGTTTGAACAAATAAATCGGGATTAAAAAAGCAACTAAGTTCCAGTATCTTAGTCAAGAAAAGATTATTTATTATACAATGTGAAAGATAAGGAATTCAGAAATAAACATTTAGCACTGGAGATATCCTCCTAAGAGATTATTCGCAACACCTAGAAACAAAAATATTTTAAATTGCATTATAAGAAATGTGCTACTCACAGAATAACAGGTAGTGCATGATTCCACATACATGATTCATCCAAAATAGTCACACAAAAAGTAAAATAGTGACTTCCAAGGGCTAAGGGGAAGGAGAAATGGAGACTTGCTATTCAACAGGTCTAGAGTTTCAGTTATACAAGGCAAATAAGTTTTAGAGATCTACTGTAACAGTGTGGTACCTATGACTGACAATACTGAATTGTGCATTTAAAATTTAAGAGTGGAGAACTCAAGTTTAATGCACTTATCACAATAAAAAATGTACTATGAACAAGTTACACTGTGTAAACGAACACATTTTAAAAGTTTCAATTCTAGGGTTTCTATCAAGGTCTCCCCAAGCTGAAGTGATTATGTTATGAATGGAAGACATTATTTTTATCTTATCCTATCCTGTATCTGGGTAGTTGTATCTCAAAGGAAAGCAATATACAGAAATTAGAATAACATTCTCGTTTTGATTCAGAGTAAACATCTCTTCCAAGTAATATTTATAGAAACAATTTTTATCAGTGGTAAGAGTTAAAATCAACTTGCTCAAATTAGGAGTATTGTAGTTTAACTCACAGATTGGGGTCAAACAAATGTAGGTGAATCCTTAACTAAATTTGGTATACAAGGATTTAAAAACATCTCTAAATATAAGCAGCACTGTTACATAATTCTTGCAGACAAACTGCTGGAACTCTCTGATAAAACACAGAGGGGATTGTCTAAGGCCTTGTGTTTTTGAATCAAATTTTGCCAAGGCTAGGATACCAAAGAATAATACTTTTATTTTTCTTTTCATACAATATCATGAGGTTTTTTTTTCCTCTGTTTTCTTTAGCTTGTTTTTGTGAAGTTAAAGCATACCAAAAAAACCCCCTTAGATATACTATTCTACCATGCATGAAAATTAAAAAATTATAGTTAGCATTAATTTCAAGGTTATAATGTAAGCAACGTTCTTTCTTTTATCTTAAAGTGCTCTTGTCACAATAAAAAAGTACTGTGAACAAATTACACTGTTTGAAAGAACATACTTTAAAAGTCTCAGTTCTAGGGTTTCTACCGAAAAATTTAACTCTGAAATTCTCCAGTACAGGCATGTTGAAAATAGAAACAAATAAACCACATAATACAATGTGTATCATTATTTTACACTTTCTTCAACTTTGTACATTAGAAATGCAAAATTTTATCATAGAACCCTAGGTTGCAACTGAATACTGGCTATTTAAAAAATAAGCCAGTAGTGTTTACTACTACTAGAGAAATTTTACAGAATTTTTGAGTAGGAAGGATGTGAAATATTTGAACCCTGTTTAATATCTAAGGTATTAATTAAATAAATATGGAGATTTATTTTAGTGAAATATTTGTTTCTCAGTTCTAAATAAATTTTATTTTTCTAGTTAAATCTCCAGGCCAACCAATTTACATCGTATACGTTCCTTCTCATCTTCATCATATGCTCTTTGAATTATTCAAGGTACGGTAATGTATAATAACTGTGATTTTTGTCTTTAAAATAGTTCATTAGTTATATTTCTGTTTCCTTCATCATTCATCTCTAGACAACAACCTCAATATCTTCTTCTAAGACTATTTTAGGGCATGTAACAAAGAAATTACACAGCCAATATTTGGAAAAGTACACGAGAGGCTGGGGATTTAGCTCAGCGGCATAAGCACCTGCCTTGCAAGCAGGTGGTTGTGAGTTCGATCCCTAGTACCAATAAAAAGTTAAAAAAAAAAAAAAGAAAAAAGTACACGCACCTCATGTTAATACCAACATAAGTTTGAGAATGCACAATATGTTTCATGACATCTCAATGCTTTAGAAGCAAAGGATGCTCCCATTGTTTGTTCAAGAATCTAAATTTAAAGCAGCATCAGTGAATAAAGCCTTATAGCTCTGACTCCTTAGGCTATTTCAGCTCAAAACTCAAAGGCTCAAATTCAGAGTTCCTATAAGGGATCCATCCACATTCTGAGTCTAGAATATGCTCAGAAAACAGTCAGTTCCTTCAGTGATCTACTTTAATGTACAGAATCACCTAGGAGCTTGGTTCGATTCCAAATTTGAATCATTAGGTCAGTGCTGGGGCCTAAGATCTGAATTTCCAGTGATCTAACTGGAAATCCTGGTTCAATTCCACACCAGCAAGGCTATAGGGCAATGCTTCTCAAACTTAAGTATGCACTACCTTCTCCTGGAGGGCTTACTGAAACCTTATGCTTGGGCTGTGTCTTAGAGTTTACAATCTATAATTCTGAGAATTTGCATTTCGGACAAAATTTCAGACAATTCTGATGTTTCTCTCTGATAACCCAGTGCTAAAAATCAATCCTCTCGTGGATTCTAACATCAAACCAAAACTGAATTGAAACCAAAAACCAAAACAAAACAAAACAAAAACTATCTGAAGCTTTGTGATATTTTCCCAGGGTCCCTAAATGGGAGAAGAGGGAGACAAAAAAATAATGAAAAAGAAGCATAATGTAATTCTAAGTCTCACATAACTTCAAATTTACTGTTTTATAACATTCTAATGACGTGTTGATTGAACTGTAAATATCATCCATTTTTTTTTCACTTCAGATAATGACTAAAACTTAGCTATTATATAGGAACCAGAAAGCAGATGCTATACCACATGGTGATTAGAGATGAGAATGGGTTAAACAATCCAGCACTTTATTTATCTGCAGGACATTTAGCCAGTAGGCTGAAAACACATTTTAGTTGGTTGTGTGCTAAAGGACAAAAATGCTTTTCCATTGATTTGGTTTATTTTAAGTTGAATGATCCAACTCATAGAGTTAGTTGCCATCCCTGGTAAAAGTTAAAATAAAAATCAAAGGGAGATCGAAATTTAATTTAGAATTATGGACTGTCCTTTTAAATAGTAACAACGCGTTTCCAGCAAATGTTCTAAAAGCCAATAAATTGGTTCAGTGATTCACTGTTCATCTGTTATGTAATAGTCTTTGGCGCTTGGATATAAAACGTAATGAAAAGACAGAAACAGGAAAGCTAGGAAATGGACTATAAAAACCAATTTCTACATTTAAATTAAGCTTTCAAATAGGAATTTGACAGCTAGCAGAATTGTTTTTCCATTAGGCATTACTCCCAGGAGCTATATTATATGCTAAATGAATATTTTTCATTATACATACAATATGACACATTCATAAATGGCTATTCACAGAGCTCTTTTACCACTAACTTAAAAAATAGAAACTTTGAATTATCCTCTGTGCAGCTCTTACTTTAAGCATAAAAAATACTTATTTATTGCACCTCATTCTTCTGCCATTGAATTCCTTATGGTTTTCTTTTTCCTTAGAATGCAATGAGGGCAACAGTTGAACACCAGGAAAGCTGTCCTTCCCTTACACCAATTGAAGTGATTGTCGTCTTGGGAAAAGAAGACCTTACAATTAAGGTGACTGTTCTTTTCTTTGGTTTTGTCTTGAGAGAATATTTTAAAGGTCTGTAGTAATAAGCCTCCCTATTTGGGACAGTGGATCAAAATCATGCATGACTTATAAAGAAGGAAAGACTTTATATGAACAAATGCATACTGTTTTTAATGCATAGCTCTGATGACTTGTTTATATCAGATTTCTGACCGAGGAGGTGGTGTTCCCCTGAGGATTATTGACCGCCTCTTCAGTTACACATACTCTACAGCACCAACACCTGTGATGGATAATTCCCGGAATGCCCCTTTGGTAAGACCAATTATATGGCTCAATGAATCCCAGCTACCTAGTTCTAAATGTTGATCAAGGATTACTAAAATGAAATGAGACAATCAATCTGGTTAAATTACATGTGAGGGACATGAGAAAGAATAATAAATCAATCAAAACGTGGTGAAAAACAATGTTGCAAGGGGTCCCTGATTGGAAGTAGAAGATATTTATTTAGGTTCTAAGACTTAAGTACCAGTGAGGTTCATAACTTTTTCCTACATTTCATAGTCCCCTGGCTACATTCATTCCTATACTAATATACGATTTTCTCTTTTAGGCTGGTTTTGGTTATGGCTTGCCCATTTCTCGCCTCTACGCCAAATACTTTCAAGGAGATCTGAATCTCTACTCTTTGTCAGGCTATGGAACAGATGCCATCATCTACTTAAAGGTATTCTTTGAATTCAATTTAAAAAAATCCTGGTCCACAGTGGGAATTCCCTAAGCTGAATTAAGGCAAATAAATGACCAATATTTTCTGTTTGGATATATAAGCACAAATCATTTATTATGGTAATTTACTAAGGAGAAAGCTATGCCATACACTTGACTAACATGAGGCAAAGTTGTTTCCCAAAAAGAATACCAAAATTTTAGATTGAGTACATGCTCATGTCAATTTTTTAATGGCAACTTTCTCTTGCCATCCGAGAGAGTAGCTGTATTTTTATATTACTGAAACTTGTGAAAAATAAATGCTAATATTCTATCCTACAAACAACAGAAATCAAGACCTTAAGATGACCTTATTAGAAATCTAGGGAAAGGTAATCTGGTTGCTCACACTGTCAGCAGGATGCCAGGCATTTGCTATTTGAACTTTAAAACCCCAGTGAATGTATCTTTCTGTTTGGAATGAAACCTCAGTTTATTTGTTAAGATAACTGTCCTGATTCTGTTAATCATTTGCCAACCATTTCAACTGAAAACATATTTACCAATAACAGCAACTAAAACATTAAACTGCTAGGTTTCCATTTCACATGGGACTTAAATGCCAAATGGACTTTGTCAGAAATAGTTAATTATTCCTTTCTGAAGGTGCCAAAAATCTTCAAACCAATGGGAAAGAGCTCCTTAATAAATTAATAGTATCAGATTAGCATTCTCATTTTATTACAGATTCAGAATTTTTTTCCTTTGGAAACAATAGTTTTGCTGTCCACTTTTATATCATCAGCAATATCCAAAGGTCATTTGTAAATACTGAACATGTATTCTATTCCCTAAATTGTAATTACATATGCATTATTTCAATTCCTCATGAGTAGAAATAATTAAGCCACTATAGATATTATTGGATTCTTACTACTAAAATGAATGAGATGAATGTATTTGAATACTAAATACTTACCTCTAAATAAATTTTAAATAATCATTTCAAGTGCAAATTATGCCACCCATAATTTCTTTGGTCTGATATTTTTTCCTTTTTCTTTAGGCTTTGTCCTCTGAGTCCATAGAAAAGCTTCCCGTCTTTAATAAGTCAGCTTTCAAACATTACCAGATGAGTTCTGAAGCTGACGACTGGTGTATCCCAAGCAAGGAACCAAAAAATATGGCAAACCAAAAAGTGGCCATGTGAAGAGCAACACTCAGGACACTCTATGGGATCAAAGTGGGTCTAGGGCAATTGCTTCTTAAATGTTCGTGTGTGAAGTCTTGTTTCTGCAGAAACAGATCACTGCAACAGAAACATTAATACCGTGAGAAATGGTGTTGGTTTCCATGATCCAGGAGAAGACAGGACAGAACTGTGGGAGTTAAACAAGGGCCAGATCTTTGTTCTGTAATGTAGAATGACTTCAGTGTACTCAGATCTTGTTTTCCATCTCTTATCAATAGGAATGGAGAGGGGGATGAAAATGAAGGCAGTTATTAGCAATTCCAATAGAAAGAAATTTTAGAACATCCTATTGTTATCAATACTGGTACTTGATGAATACCAAGTGTTAAGATACCAGGATTTGCCTACCATGTAAAAGGTGAAGTTTAGTTTACACTACATAATTAGAAATGTATGTAAATATACATTTCATAGATACTATGTTTATATGCTCTAGGGAGAAAAGGATAGTGACTAAAATAATGTTCATTGTAGTTCAAAGAAGAAGAATGAGTTAAAATGTTTTATTCAGTTTCAGCTAAGACGTTGGACCTGTGTAAAAACTCAGAAGAAGACCTCTTCTGATCATTACTGCTCCTTTATTATGCTGCTTTTTCTATTAATATTTCATGCAGTAAACCAATGCTTATTGCCAGGTGCCCAGTCTTGGGTGAGTTGTTAAAGGTACACTGAATTCAGGAAGTCGGAGATTAGAGAGAGAAAAGGATTGTCAGAGTGATAGCAATGCTACACCTTACCTTATTTTGCTCATAAATGAAACAGTAGGTTGGAAAGCTATTGTTAGGGAAAGATTTCTCCTATTTGATACCTAAATGTAGTGGAGTTTAGAAGTGTTCTGTAACGGGAAGTGATGAAAATGCAAAGGCATCCATTCCTTAAACTTTCAAAATTGTATTTTTGCTACATTTGATTATATTGTATACACTCCACCATTAACATGGCTGTTAAACATGTTTTAACTGTTATACGGCCCAAGAGCATTAGACATTATATACATTTTTGAGCATTTTTAAAAGTCAGATAGCCTGGGAAGAAAAAGTTCTCATGCCCACAATGCTTTCATCTGAGAATAGCTGAGGCTGAGAGGTCAGGAATGAAAGCTGACATGCAAATGGTACTTTGGAGAATTGAAGTAGACCATGCAGGTCTTCAGACTATTCGTGTCCAAATTGTTCTCAGATAAGAAGTGAATAAAGAACTTAAAGACACAAGGGAAAGAGAAAAGGAGGAAATCAAAAGGCAGGCATCTATCTATCTCCCCCACAAATTATTCCAAGGATTGATTTGTATTTATATGAATGAACCATGGACAAGAGGATGGATTGGTGTCTTTCAAAGCAGTATGCCTTCCTTTAATGGCTTCCACACTTATAAGAGAATAGACTTATGATGAGAGAATGGGTTCATCTGTGTCAAATTACATCTAAACTGACACACAGGAAGAAACTTAGAATTTTCTGCATTGTTCAGCATTTGTTTGTATGTTGAATTTAACATCTGTGTTTAATTTTGTGATGACCTAGATGCTAGGTCTTAGAGTTATGGTGCTTCTGGTTGTGGCAATAGAGACCTCAACCCTTTGTTGTGAATTTCAGATATTCAGAAGTCCTCAACAGTGACTTTTCTTGATGGTGGGACTTTGACTTGTGCACTTGGTGATTACACAAAGCTGTTTGTCTCTTGCTTTGGTTTTTGAATGAAATTTGAGCAAAATATTTTTGTATGTAAATATTTGTAGTTACCAAAGTTTTAGAGCAGTTAATTAATTGACCTAAACACTGCAAACTATCTTTAAAATATTAAATCGTGAATAAAAAAGAAAAGTTAGCAATTCATGTTCATCAACTATGTAAATAAACAAAATGTCTACTTTGGTATTTGTGGACTAGATAAAAGACCCTTTGAATTCTAATGAATGGTTACTAAGTGCTCAGACCCACTTAAATTATTAATGTATGACTTCTGTTCTTGTCTTTCAGTTATGTACAGAGAAATGAGATAATTTTTATAATAAATATTTTTAGTATTAACTCATGGTCTTTCAATTCTTCACTTATCTTGAAGTACAATGAATAATAAGTTAAAGAATTTCCTGGTGGCACATTCAATATTAATTAATCTATAAAATTTGCATAGCCTTATAAAACTATTGAAGCAACTATCTTATTTTTCTTTTATTTTAAAGAGTATAAGATCAAAGGAAACAAAACTGAATAAAACCAATCAAAACAAACTAGTGTAAGTGATACAGGACTTCAAAACAATACAAAATCAACAGTAGTTACCTGATGCCTCTTATTGTCTTCAAAATAGCTGCAGATACCTGCAGACATAGTGAAAACCAAACAGAACAAGATAAACCAATCAAAACAAAACAATGAATGCAATAAAGGACTTCAAAACAAGACAACAGTAAATCCAAAATGGCTACCATAATGTATCTTGCTATTTTGAAATAGCTGCTCATGTCATTGGATATAACAAAATCAAACAGAGCAAAACTCAACCTGACAAAACAATGAAAATGACACAGGGTTTCAAAACAAGATAATAGAGAATTAACAATGGCTACCACATTCAGAAGATCTTCTCTAGATGCCATACTGTGTATCGTTATCCTCTGAATAAATGATCAGATCACTGGCCCTAGACCTGCAAGGTCAGTGAAACACCAAACTCTACAAGCATCAAATTGCAAGTTAGTTATACCATTAGTGTCACTTAGTTCACTGAATAGGAAAGGTTGTGCTAATATTGATTGAAGAAATTTTTATGCCCATATTTTGTACTTGAGTGACTAAAGATAATGTGTAATTTATCAACAGTTGTTACTTTTTCATTATTTTGTTGTGAAAATTTGTTTTATCTTTTCTTCTTAATATTAACAAAGTAATAAATTAAAAAAAACAAAAATCTTATACTGAATTCTAGATAATTTTCTCTAAAGTCCAAAATTCTCTCTCCTAATTAAATGAAGTCTTACTGTATGAAGAAGCACTCCTGACTTCTAAAGTCTTTGAATCTATATTACAAGTAATTGCTTATGAATACCACAATTCTAACCTCTCTTCATTCTATCTTAATAGTAACTACCAGATTAATTCTTCAAAAACAGACTTTTCATAATATCACTTCCAAATTTGAAATCCTTTACTGGCTTCCCAAACTTAAGAGGATGATATTTGTAGCTTTTTACAATCCAACCCACATTACCAGCCTTACAATATCTGTTTTCCATTATTGACCTGAATCCAGTATGTTATCTTTTAAACACTGGGCACCTCCACCTCTTATAAATTCTCACATGATCAGGATCATCACAACACTTTTCACATAATTCCTAAGCCTAATATTTAAATGTTATAAATCATTATAAAATGTAGTAATCCAATTTGTCTTTATTAGTGAGTTATATCTACCAAGATAAAGCAAATGCCATTAGACCTTTTAATGTATATTTTAAAAAATATTTCATGGTTAATATATTTTGATGAACAAGGAAAACAGAGAAAAACAATGAAACAAGTCTTAAATGAACAGAATATTCTATTGATCTAAAACCAAAACCACTCATCTTAATGTTTTTAATGACTTAACTCTTCTTGTCAATCATTGAAGGATCCACATTGATTTTCAGATGGATCGCAGCTGTAGTACAAATGCATGACTAAATTGGGCCTTATATTTCAGTCTTAATACTAGATCTTTTACCACAAAAATTTAGAGGATTACTAAAAATTTAAAGAAGCAAGACATAAATACATGACAAGTCATACAGATATGAGGTCATAAAGTGTGAGCATGTAATGCACTCATGATAATAAAAACTTTACTCTAATTTTCCTATTGCCTCATTAAGGTCCTGAAGTTTCATTCAGAGGTCAAAGAATAGTCTGTGATCTGAAACTGTTGAAACCTGGCCAGTCAAGGATCAGGCCAGGACGTTGGCCTCTTTAGTAATGCCACCCAACCAAAAGCTGGGTGGGTAGTGGCGCCATGTGTTACCTAATGCTTTCTGTTAACATTTTTAGATCCCTCTGTATGGGAGTGAACCTTCCTGAATACCAGTGGTAGCCAATACTGCACATCATAATTAGTCACAAAGACACTGGCCTGATAACCCACTTTCCATGACTGTCAAACGCAAGAAAAGAGGCTTAAGCTGTGAGCATATCAATTAGGCTTCAGTTGTTCCCTAGTTAGTTGTCTTCCTCTTCTAAACATCATGATTCATAGTGTGAAAGCAGATCTCCAAATGACAATAAAAACATGCACAAAACATGGGCTTTTAAAAGCTTTTGAAAATAGTACACTGGCTGTTTGTTGGTCAGTAGAAAATGTCTTCTTATTTCTTTTTCTTAAATTGTCTGGCAATGGTTCTTTGTAATTAAAATCTTTTTTTTTTTTTATTTAAAGAAAAGGAAACGAAAAGAAAAAAAATACATGGAGATAAAAAAAAAAGGGTAGAAATAATACAAAATTACAGACAAACAAAAGGTAAGAAATTGCCAGTTGATAAGTTACGGATTGTCATCTTCGAAATGGCTGTTCAGGTTATAGAATTAAAGTATTTAGAATGACATTCAAAAAAGTGACCCTACAAACCATTCTGCTCTATGATCGAACAAAAGCTCCGTAATATGATTATCAGTCCCACCTATTTGTTTTACATCTCAAAGAGGGTAAGGTTAACCATATCTGTAATTAAAATCTTATCTTGCATCCTATGCAGAGTCAGATGTTATTCTGACATTTTTTCAATCCAAAGAGCTCCAGTTAGGATGTCCATTTACCATCAACTGGAGTAAAATTATTTAAGGGTGGAACTTGTTACTGAACTTGAAGAAACAATTTGTTAACCAAAGGCAGTATAATTGGTTTGATTTTTAATTGTATCTGTCATAAATATCTCTTTCATTAGAATATTAGAATAGACATTGGTTTCACTGGACCTTTTTTCTGTCTCTGAACTCATTTAAAATTAAAAAACAAGTTAAAATCCTATAGAATTCATTTGATGTTGGGTATTTTTAAATATATTCATTAACTCATTTTACTATATGAACCCTCTTTTATGAATGGACTCCTTTCATTCTCATATTCTCTGTGACTAATGTGAGAATGTTCCTGATAGGAAACTGAGCCACAAAGAAACAAAGTGAGCTGCATCTATCCAAGCAGAGCTGGGATGGGGAATCAAGGCACTCAGTAGTCCGCAGCAGAGAGGCACAGTGACACCGAATTCATCATAATTGTGCTAGTCCCACCATCTGGAGATTGTCAGAGTTTTTCAGGAGACTGTTACAGGAAAATCCCACCTACTTTCTGTGTTACCAGACACTTGGAATTATTATACCAGCCCTTATGCTCTACTGAACGGCCTTAGCAATTCATCAGGCACTGAGGCAATTCAGTTACTTGCACAACAAGTAATCAATAAACATGTCATAAGCACTGCATGGAACCTACCATATACTGGGAAAGCCATAATAAACTACAAAGCTTTCTACGCCAGTGGATGCTGTAGTTTATTCATCAACATAGAATATCTTATAAATATTGTCCTGTCTTAATAACTGCATTTATTCATATGATCTGAGAGTAGATACAAGGTATCTGAGATAAGGACAAACAATTGTACTTACAGTAATAATCGCATCAGTTCTCCTTGCCTCAATCCTTTTCCCTTCTCTATAGTGACAGAGTGAGATCACATGTCACCTTATACTTGATGTAGTCAGTACTGTAGACAAAGGATTAAGAGATCCTGAAAGGGAGATTGTATAGGATAAGAAAACTGGTTCAACTTCTCCTGAGACAGAGAGAGAAACTTTTGCTTTCTAATGTATACAAACTCTTCCTTGGAAAGAAAAAGAAGAGTCCTTCATTCATTTACTTTGAAATGTAAATAAGTATCTCTAGAGGGGATAAAAGATAAGCCTCTCCAAATTTACAATCCCTGGAACATTTCTATTCCTAGGATTCTCAACACTCTTGAAATACAAACCCAGTGTCTCCAGGGAGACAAGCCTCTTACTGCTTATTCAGGTATCTTTTAAGCTTCCAGGTTTGCCTTTAAATCCAGGTCCTAGTAAAACTTGCCCCAAAAGCACTAACCATAAAGACGATAGCATGTAAATACACATCCTCTTCGCTTCTTCCAGTCTTTGCTCTTGAGAGAGGTCCCTCCAAAGGAAAACACCACTTCTTTCCCCAGGATGGCGATTAGGTCAAGGTTTGATCGGTTGCATTTTTTGGAATCAACCAATCTAGGTTATGCCAATTCAGGAACTGTCTAAGGTTCACTGGCAAGGGTCATGCAGATTACACTGACAGAAGACACATTGACAAGACAAAAAAAAAAAAAAAAAAAACAGAATGTACTAAAATCATGCTGTCTATATCACAATGAGAAACTCAATAAATCACTCAAAGGAGTTCTTAAAACTTGAGCTTTTATTGTTTCACTGAAAAACACAATCAATTTATAGGCAAAAGACAAGACAACTTTAAAAGTTTTATGTTTCCAAAAATATATATGGTGAAACTAAGTAAGACTTGGGTATGCAGGTCCATCACAGCATCAAATTTCTGTCCTCATGGCCATGAAATTTCCCACAGAGACAGGATTTATGACAATTCTCATTTCCCAAAATTTCTTCTTTTCATCAGGAAAGAGAAACTCCAAGGGAGGGTTTCTTTTATTAGTTGAATCAGAAATATCTTTAAGTTCGAAATGCTCATCACGCCAAAGTGCTTTGTTGAGGGATGGCATATTTTGATCTTCTAACTAGTTCTGAGAACAGATTGTCTGGTTGTTTAAGGCTCAGGCATTTGCCTATGAGTGGGCCTGTAGGCATGAGAGTACAGTAGCAGCCATTCCAATGGAAACCCTATAAACCTGGGAGAATAATTACAAAGTAGTGTAGAAATGTTTCCATGAAGGACAGCTTGGTAGAAGAGCAAAAACATTTGTCTCCTACAGCAGTAAAGAAAGATCCAGAACGTGAGGAATTTTCCCTTGTTCCAGGAAGGAACAGATTCTCAAGCACTGCAGAAAACCACACCCAGTGCAGTAGATTATATTCTTGGCTAAGATGCTTAGAAGATCAGAGTTTTGAGGGCAAATGTGATTTTGAAGTAATGGCAAAGAGAAAAAAGGTGAGCTGCTATATAATATAATATAATATAATATAATATAATATAATATAATATAATATATAGTATGTTCAGTGGCATGAGGGAAATAGGCTATGGACCAATTGCTCAGTTATGTGCTTTTTTGTTTCTCATAAATGCTCAATAGCCTGGATTCAAAGTTAGCAAAATATTATTTTTCTATATAAAATCAGATGAAAAATATTTGAGGCTTTGTGGGCTATGTATGTATGGTTCCTTTCACATATTTTTCTTTGCACTTTAACAACATTTTAAAAAGTAAAAAGTATTTTTAGCTCCCTCACAAAGCTCTGATTTGCTGATTCCTGGTCTAATGCAAAGAAAGAAAGCATGGATTGTGGTTGTGAAGTTTCCTGGCAGGTAAAATGAATAAAAAGAGGCAAGTTCCAAGTGTTTTGAACAGAATAATTGAGACATCAAATCTACTCGATAGGAAAATCATTAATCCTCTACTGTTTAAGAGGATATTTACTTAATATTGATTAGATATCTACCAAATGTTGAACACCAAGTCAAGCCCTGGGACAAAATGATAATCAAAACAGACTTAGTATCTACCTTCATGCTAGTTAGCATGCAATGAACAAAGACAGATTAAGTAACACACATAAAAATAATTATACCTTGATCAATATAATTATTACATGATTATTACAATATTAAATTTTACCCCATTAAAAAAGTAACAAATATAACACTTTTTATTCCAGAAATGTAAGTCATGAAAGAACAGAACTGATAACTACAACTTTATTAAATTTAAAACTTTTACTCTGGGAAAGACATTGTTAAGAGATGAAAAAAGACAAGCCATGTATCTGGATAAAATTAACGAAAGATATATGAGTTTTGCACCTTACAAACCTAAGAAAACATTGCTGAGAGACAATGAAGATGATACAAATAGAAGAGTTATATCATGTTTGTAAACCGAACAACTATTTTTAATGAATCAGTTCTTTTCAGATTGCTCTTCAGATTCGATACAATCTTAATCAAATTTCAGTAGGCTTTTAGTGAAAACTGACAATGTCATTCTACAATCCTTATGGAAATGTAAGAGATCCCAAGTAGCCAAAGCACACTAGACTAAAAGTATTTGTCTCCAAGGCTAACTCTAAAGCTATAATACTCTGAAGTGTGTGATTCAGATATAATGACAGAAAGAAAGAAAAGAAAAAAATCAATTGGTGAGAATAGAGAGCTCAGAAATAAACGCACACGTATATAAACAGCTGATAAAAGTGAAAAAGCAATTCAATTGAGGAATTATAAGTTTTTTCAACTGGTGAGATCGTACAATTGTATATCCACCTGTAAAACAGGAACTTCATCACAAAAGATACCTAAATTAACTCAAAATGGACAAAAGACCTAAATGAAAACCATAAATGATAAAATTTATAGGAGAAAACAGAGAAGAAAAATGTTTGCAGCCTTACGTTAGGAAAGATTTCTTAGATATGCCATATAAACCATATATGGTTTTAGACAAAACCATATAAAAATGGTAAGTTGGGCCCAATCAAAATTATAAAATTCTGTTCCTTTAAACTATTAAAAAATAAAAAGGTGATTCATAGACTGGAAGAAATATTTTTATATTTGTTAACTTTTGATTTGATAGTTGGTCAATGAAGATGTAGGAATGGCAAATACTCTCATGAAAATGTAGTCAATCATTAGTCACTGGGAAAGTGCAAATTAAAATATATGAGATACAACTAAATCCATATTTAAATGACTAATATTTAGAAGACTGACTATGCTTCATGTTGGCAAGAATGTAGGGCCACTGGAGTCTTCATATACTATTAGTAGGAATTTATATCCACTTGAGAAAAATTATTTGAGAATTGCTTAAAAACTCAAATATATATCCATCATATGTTCCAGCCTTCCTAGACTTCCAAGAGAAGAACATGTAATGTAGCTATAAAAATATCATATGTGAATGTTTATAAGTTTTTTCCTATAAGCTCTCAAAACAAGAATCAACTAAAATAAGCGTTCAACTGGTAAATAGGTAAAGAAGTTTTAGTGTATCTATAAACTAGTTAAGACTATACCTAAGACTAGTGTATCTACAGACTAATTAAGAAACATTCCTGAGCCAGAATATATATGAAATGCATGCGCATTCATGGTTGCATGTGTGTTTGTGTGTGTGTGTTTATACATAAATCCGTATGTTTTGGAGCTGATAAGGAGAGAGAAAGGTAGTAAGGCAATAACAAAGTTTATCATGTGGAAATATGAAATAACACATAGGCAGGAAGGGTGCTGACTATCAAGGGCCTTTGATTTTTTTATAAATCTTATTTTATTTTTTAAAAAGGTAAAACTAAACAGAACAAAACAGAACAAAGCAGGTCAGAAGAAAACAATGTAAGTGACACCGATTTCAAAACATAACAGGAGATCTACAGTGGCTACCATAATGTCTCTTGTTTTCTTCTAAATGGTTGTCTATATCTTCACACACACAAAATTCATATAAAACAATACAGTATAAAACTGATCAGAACAGGGTAATGAAGGCACAACAGGCTTTCGAAGCCAGAAAACATGAAAATTTAAAAAGGCTGCCATAATGTCTCTTATTCTTTTCAAAATAGCTGCCCATAACTTCATGTATGTTGAAATTAAACAATACAAAACAGACTAAAAACACTGAACAAAAAAAATAGAAGCATTATTGGATTTCACCGCATGATGAAACAATCAGCAATAGATACCATAATGTCTGTTTTTCTTCAAAATAGCTGTTCATTTCATCACACATAGTGTAATTAATTCTCATAAACTGTTTAGGAGAAGTTCTAGGCCTCTAGGCCTCTACATGTATACCTATCCTTTCTGCATTAGAGCAAACAACAAAATAAAACAAAACAGATTGATAGAAAAATAAGAAACAAAAATTAACAATAGCAAAGGGCCTAAAACAATGATACAGGCTTTCAAAACACAGTGGTAGGGACAGGACTAAGGTTGATATTATACAAAGTGATCTTCAACAGTTCCTTAGGTCACCTGACACAAATATGCAAAATTGGTCCAGTCCTATGAAAATTAACTGCTTTGTTCTACAAACTTAGAGAATTTGTAGCACAATCATCTTAGCTATCTTAAGTGTGTTTATACAAATTTAGATATTTTTTCTTTTCCCTTCCTTTTTCTTTTACCTCCTTTTCCCTGAGATACTATTTTCCCCTTTGAGAAGATTCTTAACCCTTTCACTGTATTTATTGAGGATTTTGTATCTTAGATACTCTTACCACTTCTTACACTAGGGAGACAATACAGTATCTGCACATGTGAGTTTGATTTATTTCACTTATGAGTATGGTCTCAAGTTGCATCCACTTACTTATAAATATCTCAATGTGATCATTCTTTATAGCTGAGTAGTATTTCATTGTATAAAAGTACCATGTCTTTTTTATCCATTATCAAGGGTCTTTGAAAGGGTATACATGATGTGACACACAGTGAGGAACCATTATTGATTTTGACCAAGGAGCTAAAAGATCAAAACAGGGTTCTATGAAAATCAGAGCTACAATTGTGTATACAATAATATGGGGAGGAGACAAAGCAGATTTACAGAGCTTGCAAAGCTCTGTAAAAGCTTTGCAAGTCAAAACATTTTCAAAATTTCTCTGTAAAGCTAATTTGAAGAACTCTCAATATGCTATTTTTTTCCCTTCCTCTCAAGGTAATGTTCATGTGATAAGTAAAATACTTACCTTTTTTAGAGGAGTGTTGCAGAACAGCTACCCTTTTGTAATCTGAGGAGCTTAGTGTATAAGGATTTTAGCTTCTATATGGAAATTGTACAGTGGAATGCATAGCAGTTACTTTCACTTGACGTCTTAAAAGTTCATTTCCAGTTTGGTGATTTAAATTTTGACATGGAGAAATCCATGAAAGATCCTTCTCCAAGAATTCTAATGCCTAAAATTTGAAAGCTAAAAGTTTTAGGATGAGAGCAAGTAGGGTTATTTATGAATATGGTGGAATAAACTTTTTCTCCAACAGTCATAGCCTTATCTTAAGGATTATTTTATCCTGCAGTTTCTCTCCCTAACAAAGATAATACAAAAATTAGCACATTTGCATTACAATAAAACACCTAAGCTATTTCCTATTCAGTAGATACTTTTGTTTAGAATCA